CTCTGGCGAATTTGTATGGTAACAGGAGAAACAAGGTGATTCGCTGAGTGGGGGTGCAGGTGGCCGGCCTCTCCAGGAGAACCCAAAGGAGAGGCTAGAGAGCTGGAATGTAAAGGAGAAGTTAAAGTGTAACCGAAGAAGAAGGTTGTGTTTCTGCAGTTGGGCTGTAACTGATGGAAAGTTGATTTTGAAATCTGTTTATTACAAAGTAACAACTAATAGGGAAACAGATTTCAAAATCAGAATTTTAAATTCTTTAATCGCCTGGTCTAGTATTGTTAATGGCAGATGTCAAGCAGAGGTCGTCAACCTTTTTCCTACTGTGGACTGGCTGAGCCTCTGAGGGAGGCGGGCGTCCCCTCGTGCTCGCGCTCTCAGACACATGCACAAAGTGTTCGGGGAACACACGCACCGCTTCGCGCATGCGCTGGAGCATGCCCACCACTGCCGGAAGCCTGAGAGCTTGAGCATGGCCGGGAGGCTCCCTCCGGCTGCTCACCTCCCAACGGGCTCCTCACCACCCTCTGCGGGAAATTTAAATGCAGCCGCTGGTGCCGGTTCCGGAGCTGGAGGCACCAGCGGCACCATCAGCCTGCTGAGGGCAGCAAGGAATGCCGACCCTGGTCTTCTTGAAGCCCGCCGAGAGGCCATTTCATTCTCTGCAAATACTTGATGTATGAAATAATAAAACTTTATGAGAAGAAAATACTCTTTTGGGGTTTTTTAAGCATATTCCTTTGCATTTGGAACTTTGAAGTGATTTTTCCCCAGCATCCCTGAGTAATTTGTTGTTATTGTCATGTGTTTCTTCCATTTTGAGGTTCTGGATCCAAGAACCCGAATGATCCTGTTCAAGATGCTAACCAGAGGTGTAATATCAGAGATCAATGGCTGCATCAGCACTGGGAAAGAGGTTGGATTTACTATGATTGGGCCTGGTACAAGTTAAATTAATATGCTTAAATCTATTAACTAAAAATATTCTTTGGAATACTTCCACAGTATATTTTTAAACAAATGCAAATTGCTTTTAACATAAGTTTCTGTGCAAATTTCCAGAAAGAAGAAAATTCTCTCTTTTTCTTCACAGATAGAGAATTGGAGAATTTGTACTAAACAGTGATTTAACATTGTAAGAAGAATCACCTTGTTTGTACGGCATGACATCCAGTAGATCATAAGCTGCCATTTTAGATTAATTATAGCTTGGCATGTTGTCCAAATTCAAACTAGTTTAATCTTAACTATGATTACTAAGAAAGATGTCTTCATAAACCAACATTTAAAGTTGGTTTCTTTCAACAAATCATGATTTAGATTAATCATAGTTTGTAGTGTTCAAATGACTTGCCATATTGGCATTCATTTTTTTTAAATGGAAGCAGAAGTCTAAGCTTCTGATGCCTTACCCGAAGGATGATGGAATGTGTCTGAGGGTCAGGCTTGCACCTCAAAATGATTTAGCGTTAACATGCAACCTGGCCCCTGTTCCTTCTAAAAGAATGCCTGGTATGATGCACACCCTTTGCAAAAGAAAAAATACTGTATATATTCGTGAAGGCTTTCACGTCCGGGATCTAATGGTTGTTGTGGATTTTTCAGGCTCTTTGGCTGTGTTCTGAAGGTGGTTCTTCCTAACGTTTCACCAGTCTCTGTGGCCAGCATCTTCAGAGGACAGGAATAGCACTCTGTGCTCTGGTGCAGTTTGTTTGGGAGTTGACTATTTATAGCTGTGGGATCAGCTTTTGTCCTTTTCAGGAGATGGGTGATTATGATGATCAGTGTGTTTTTGTTGTGGGTGTATTGTTGTGATAAGGAGAGATTATCTGTCACTATGATTGATGGGTGGTGTTAGCTGGTGTTTTGTGGGTAGTGATCACCGGTCCTTGTGGCTGGGTAGAGTTTGTTGACCTTTATGCACGCTGTATTTTTCAGTGCTGGGAGCCAAGCTGTGTTGAGTTTTAAACTTTCTTTTTTGTTGAAGTTCTGCTGGTGTTTGTGGATTTCAGTGGCTTCCCTGTGCAGTCTAACGTAATGATTGCTGGTGTTGTCCAGTACTGTATTTCAGTATTTTGAAATAGAATTTCATGTCCATCTTGTTTTAGGGCATGTTCAGCTACTGCCGATTTTTCTGGTTGTTTTAGTCTGCAGTGTCTCTCATGTTCTTTGATTCTGGTGTGGATGCTTCATTTTGTGGTTCCAATATATACCTGGCCACAACTGCAAGGGATCTGGTATACTCCTGCCGTGGTGAGGGGGTCCCTTCTGTCCTTTGCTGACCATAACATTTGTTGTATTTTTGTGGTGGGCTTGAATACAGTTTGTAGGTTGTGTTTTTTCAAAAGTTTCCCCATGTGGTCCATGATCCCTTTTATGTTTGGCAGAAATACTTTATTTGTGGGTGGCTGCTTTTCTTCTTCAGTTTGGTGTTGTTTTCTTGGTTTGATGGCTCTTGTGCTTTCATTTTGGAGTAGCCATTTGCCTGTAGGGCCCAATTCAGATGGTTGAGTTCAGTGCTGAGCACAGCAAAAAAGAGGCATAATCAAAAAACTGGTAGACGGTACGAATCGGAACTGTGAAGCTCAGTTTCTTAGCAGCACCAGGAAGCTTATCAGTTTGTCTTGGGCAGATTATAATTAGTAGATTATATAGATTTGTGTACCAGAAGTCCTTGAATTGTCATATGAATATCAAAATAATTGCTTTTAGAAGCATTGTTCTAGACTTCATGTAAAACTTAATGTGCATGTATTGTGATATATACATTTTCTTTTATTTCTTGTCAATATGTTAGGCTAACGTATATCATGCCAGCACAGCAAATGGAATGAACAGAGCAATAAAGATTTATAAGACATCTATTCTGATGTTTAAAGATCGGGATAAATATGTGAGTGGGGAATTCAGGTGAGCCTGATGATTTGTTTATTTTTGCCCTGTAGCAATATCCTTCTTTACTGTTATTTGAAATTTCTAGAAGAAATAATTTCCATGCTGGGTTTTAAAAATTTCTTTTCTCTATTATGATTCTCAAGGTTTCGCCATGGCTATTGTAAAGGAAATCCAAGAAAAATGGTGAAGACATGGGCAGAAAAAGAAATGAGGAATTTAATAAGGTGATCTCTTTATGTTTCATTTGGGCCCAAGCTTCATGCTCAGACCATTTGGTATTTCTAGTGAATATAAACTGCAGAGAACACTATCAATTTTTTTTTGCTACATTTACTTTAAAATACTGTTATACTAAAAAGGCTGCTACTTCTGCAGCAGTATCTCAAATTCTGTTTATTCAGAGCGGGTGGCGAAGGGTGCGTTTCTGTGCAAAAAGTGTAAGAATAGTATTCTTGATAACTGTTTTGGGCTTTTTTTCTTTGTATTTTTGCTAGGTTGCACGCAGCACAAATTCCATGTCCAGAACCTGTTATGCTGAGAAGCCATGTTCTTGTGATGGGCTTTATTGGCAAAAATGACATGTAAGTATTCTCAACTCTGTGCAAAACAAGCTTTGTTTCGTTTTATTAGCTGCACAGTCCTATATATGTCTTTTCAGAAACTGTAATACCAAAGCAAGTAGGTATAGGATTAGGGGCTAGCGTCTGTTATGTTTTCAAATCTTATGATTTCTTGGGTTATTTCATTGTTGTTGAAAGAGTCCTTTCTCACTTCTTGCTTAGTTGTGCTTTATTAACATTAGAGGTTTTGGCTATCTCAGCTTGCTAAAGCAACAATGGCCATTACGAGTGTGACACTTTGTGGAAGTGTATGGTGGGGGGCTTAAGTGCAAAGTTTGCTCCTTTTTTTCTTTCCTTCTAAAATAACTTTAAAACCGTATATTGGGATGTAACTGAAAATCTTCCATTCTTTATTCGTATCCCATCTTTGGGAGAAAGGTAAGATATAAATAAAGGTGGGATATAAATCAAGTGAATTTCAGGGTTGCAGTTTCCCAATTCCTAGTCCAGCTCTCTTATCTAGCATACCAATAGTGCTCAGTCTTTTCAAATCCCAGACAGCCTTTGGCCCCATATGCATTTTCTGACATATTTCTCAATTGTTTACTACTACATATTTATATGTTGGTTCTGTTCCTGTTGCAAACAATCTTAGGTGAGACTATGGATCTTGATCTATTGAAACCATTATGTCTTCCCACTTTTTAGTACTTGCCCCATATGTATCCCCATCCCCAGCTTAAAAATTCAGTATTGTGCCATTGCTTTCCCAGACTGAAACTTACTAAACCATGTGCTTTTTACTTGCAAATAAAAGTGCATAAGATCAAAAATTTTAAGTGTCTGATATATAGCTTGTATGCCCTTACCTAGAAGTGCAAAACCTGCTTAATTGTTAAGTTTGATCAGTGAGGCAAGTAGAAGCAGATTCGTTACGATACTGAAACAGGATATGCAAATATTTTATTTGGTGTTAATTTTCTTTTTCTTTTCCATGCCCCCACCCCTTTTTTGTTGATCCAAGGCCTGCTCCTTTGCTGAAAAATGCCCAGTTGTCAGAATCAAAAGCCCGGGAATTGTACCTGCAGGTCATCCAATATATGAGAAGAATGTACCAGGATGCTAAGCTTGTTCATGCTGATCTCAGTGAATTTAACATGCTGTATGTCTTCATTGATAAAGATTATTAGCTTGCCTTATGTTGTACAAACTGGCCCTCTGGGTAGGATATCGTCTTCGTGGCTTCATACTTTGGGAATTTGGGAAACTGTGTTTACGCAGAGAAGTAGATTGCAATTTGGACCACTTTTGGAGCAGTCCTGTATTCATACTTTGGGAATTTGGGAAACTGTGTGTGTTTACGCAGAGAAGTAGACTGCAATTTGGACCACTTTTGGAGCAGTCCCGTGTGATCTATTTCCCAGCAGTCACACAGTGCCCAGGGTAATGTGCTCCAGGCTCATCCTAATTTGTGCCCAGCTATGGGGCTTCTAGCTTTTGGAGCTGGGGTGAAGCAATTCCCTGGCAGATGGAAGGGTTGCTTTATGGGAGACCAGTCCCATTAAAGCGACCCTTTCTGGTGCGATCAGGCATGTGCTTTCTCATTGCACCCTTTCTCACAAAAGAGGCTGGAGTGGCTTCTGGTGGCACTTTGCTGGAGACCTAGATTCTCCCTCGCCTAACTTTCCCCAGTGGCAAGATGAGGCAAAGCCAGAGACCCTCATGGCTGGAATACTGGCTTGGCTTCTATCATATAAGGAACTTATCTAGCTCTTTAAGTTCCAGCTGAATGTATTCCTATCTTCACTTTCTCCCCACCTTCCACATTCAGTGAAGGCAAGGTGAAGGATTAAGCAGTGAAATTGCTGAAGCCACAACTTAAGCCAGTGGTTATATGCAAGCAAGCCACTATCTTCTAGCCTCAGTTTTCACCAACTTTCTGGGCTGCCATTAAAGGCCATGTGTGTGATCAACTGTATGCTAATTCAGGAGAGGATGTGAGGAATGAGTTCGGTATAATGGGCCAGATCATCCCAGCATTGGTACTTCAGCTTGAAGAGCTAGCAGACATCATCCATTGTGCAGTTGAATGGGAAGGGGCCCCACGCTTGTTCCCCCTCATCAGAGAAACAGCTACTACAAAGAAACACAGGCAGATTTCTACAGTTGACTCATCCCAATCCTTGGAAGGTTTGATTGTCTTATACACTATCAACTGTATGCTAATTCAGGAGAGGATGTGAGGAATGAGTTCGGTATAATGGGCCAGATCATCCCAGCATTGGTACTTCAGCTTGAAGAGCTAGCAGACATCATCCATTGTGCAGTTGAATGGGAGGGGCCCCATGCTTGTTCCCCCTCATCAGAGAAACAGCTACTGCAAAGAAACACAGGCAGATTTCTACAGGTGACCCATCTCAATCCTTGGAAGGTTTGACTGTCTTACAAACTAACTGAGTTTCTGTAAGTTAAATCCAGGATCTTCGTATATCACATTGTTCACTGATTTCAAAGTCATCCACTTCCATGGGAGACATCCTTCTGTTCCACTCCCCCCCCTCACACTTGTAGAACAAAATTGTGCCAATGTCCAGATTAGAGGAAACGTCTGTAAGTCAAGGGTCCACTGTAAATCCAGTATCTTCGTATATCACATTGTTCACTGATTTCAAAGTCATCCACTTCCATGGGAGACATCCTTCTGTTCCACTCCCCCCCCTCACACTTGTAGAACAAAATTGTGCCAATGTCCAGATTAGAGGAAAGAATAAGAATGTGTATCCTGATCTGCATTTCTGTACTATTAAATTGAGTTAAGACATATATCATGGTGCATCCTTTAGCTGATGCATTTTTATGTGGCCTTTAAGAAAAGTTATCTATGATTAACAAGGCTGAAATATTTTATGATCTTCCTCTGTGACAATTTCCTTGAATAGTAGGATGCTGTCTAAAACATCAAAGCCCTCTGTAGATTTAAAGCTGTTCAGCTGTTACAGCATTAACAAAACAGTGTTGTCTTTTTTCTTTCTCCAGGTATCACAGTGGGCAGGTGTATATTATAGATGTGTCCCAATCTGTAGAGCATGATCATCCCCATGCTTTAGAATTCTTGAGGAAAGACTGTGCCAATGTCAATGGTGAGTAGGGGAGTACCAGTGATATGGTACATTTCTGTGGTGGAACCAACCCTCTGGATTAGTATCACTTCAAGGCAGCAGGTATGGGTAATTCTGTAGAGCGGCGATTGAGAAAATGCTGTTATTTTTAATGTTATGTTAATATCCTAGAAGAAAGTCCAAATTATTAATATATTCTATTTTCATTTTGAGTATCTATAAGCTGCCTGACAAGTTTACATAACCTGAAAGGCAAGATAGGGAAAAGGAGGAAGGAGTGATGGGGATAGTGATAGTAATTTCTTGAAGTAAATTCTCCAGGTATGAGGAACTTAAGGCTACAGGGCTGTTTGGTGCCTCAGCTTTTTGTACAGAATAGGGATTGTTAATATCAGATGGGTTTTATTTGCTTCATAATCCACTTGCTTTTTGCTCGTAGCCTTATTATGAAATACAGCTAGTAAACTGCAAAAATGTGAAATTGCAGATTTCTAAAAAATCTGAATGACCTCAAATGAGAGTTTTAATTCTGTTCTGCCAGGAGATCGTTTAAACAAGGGCCACCTAAGAGTATTCTTGGTAACTGTTACCCACTTTAAAAAACTAAGTTTGCAAGTCTTAAAAGAAATTTCTACAGTTCAGAAGTCACATTGTGTACTTCTTGTCACCAGGATTTGTGCCTGGATAGCCAGTGTTTTACTGTCATCTCTGTCTGTTCTTTCTGGTAGATTTTTTCCGGAAATACAATGTTGCCGTAATGACAGTGAGAGAGCTCTTTGAGTTTGTCACAGATCCGTCTATTACAAGTGAAAATATTGATGCTTATCTTGGAAAGGTAAGACTTAGGATACCATGCTTTTCTGGGAAAGTATTAGTACTGATGGTATGGGTTTGACTTCCAGTCCTCTTATATACTTGTGAACAAAAATGTTTATCTTGTATGGCACAAGCCAGATCTTACGAGACTTGTTGTAAACACCCAAGTATGACTTGCATACAGTTAATCTGATATGAAGGGAGTATGCAAGTTATTTGGTCCCTTTCCAGTTCTGTATAAGCCCTTTTCATATATTATTTATGTGTAGGGCAGTTCCATAATTAAGCAGAAGAGGGGCCATGCCTCTGCCCTGCCCCTGATGTTATGTAACTATGTTAAATCTACAATGTGGTATATAGGCATTGAGTGTGATTGTCTACAGAGTATCTCCTGTGGGCATGCAGTTGCTTCTCCGTATCAATGTGGTATATAGGCATTGAGTGTGATTTACAAAGTATCTCCTGTGGACATGCAGTTGCTTCTACTGTATGTAGGAGGTTGATGTGATTGGGATGCCTGGGTGGCGTCCCTGCATACCAGTAAAAATGTCCAGGATCCATATGGATCCTGGACATTGTGGAGCTTCGGCAGCCCCAGGAAAGACTGGAAGGAAGGAGGCTATTTCCATGGCTCATTAGAGACCAATGGAATGCCTCAAGGTGGTCTCCAGGTCATCTGTGGATAAAGATTCACTAAAAAGAAGCAATAGCTCAAAATAATATGGAGACATATAGCTAGACTGTTCTTTATGAACGCTTTGTTAATATTGCTGACTCTTATACCTGGTGTTACGTACTTCAGGCAATGGAAATAGCAGCGGGGAGAACAGAAGAAGAAAGATCCAATCAGGATAATGTAGATGAAGAGGCAAGTCAATAGACTGATTTCTTTTTCTCTTGTTTTCATCATACGTATAAATATGTTCTTTGGTACTTGTATAACAATTTATGGTCAAATATTTTTACATTTCTCAAATACCAACAGTTTGGTTATTCTGGGTCTACATATAATTACTGTTGTTCATTTAATCCATTCGGACTTAATTTTCAGATGTTAAGAGACTGTTGGAATATAGCATGGAATCTGTAAGAGACAGTGAGCGTCATACATAGAACACTTCCTCATTCTTCCAAAACAGTGCTTCCAGATCCTTATTTTGGCTGTGTGGGCATGGTGTTGTTTTTATTTTAGCAAACTTTCTTTCCTTTGGATTTGTAGGACTGGCTTTCTTGCAGCTAAATTTATGGGCTGGTTTGCACAGTCTGTTTCTACATCTGAATGATTCAAATCTTTCCCAGGTACACACTAACATAGAGCACACAATACTGTATATGAACAATCAGAGACAAAGCCAGATATAAAAATGTGTCAATGTGATTGTATCAGTTGGTACTGGTTGCATTCCAATACATGTCTTATTTGTCCAGACAGGAACTTCTGTAAGGAATAAACTAGACAAAATGTAAGAGATCTGTGATCTGTTCTCCTCTGGTGACTGATAAAAAAAGGTTGTGGGGAACAGGACTTTGAACTTTAATACTGTGAAACTGAGTAAACAACTATGATTATTTTGCCTTGTTAGGTGTTCAAAAAAGCATATATCCCTAGAACGCTAATGGAAGTGAAGAACTATGAGAGGGATGTGGACATAATGATGAAGCTGAAGGAAGAAGACACAGCCTTAAATGTGCAGCAAGATAATGCAAGTAGTCTTGGACTTAGTGGATGCCCAAAATATTCTGTTTGTTTGAAGCTTCTAATAATTTTCAGAAGGGAGTCCTGAGGCAATCTTTGATGAATTCCACTTCTCCATCACTTTTCATGCTGTGTTGGGAGGAACCCCAGCTATTTTGGGGTTCACAGGACAAGAGGAAGGAGGGATTGCAAAATTTGCCTCTCCCTCCAGTATGAGTTGAGCTCTGCAAAGAGATATTGTACTCTGGATCCAACCCACAGATTACAGTGATGGTAACAAGTTGATAGAATTGAACTTCCAAAACCAAAACACTTAACTTTATTTGCTTTTATTAAAGTTCTGCAATTAAGGTCTGAATTTGTTGTGGCAAAAGTTCAGCACTCTGAGATCCTTGGATACATAATTCTTTTACTCTTGTGCTTTCTAGATTGGCTGAACCAATATAATATAGTTGGTAAAATGTTAAATATTGACTAGGAAAAAACAGGTTAACGTTACTTTTTTGGCTTACCTATGAGAATCACTCAGTATTGCACATTTATGAAATACAAATTAACTATTATTTCTCTTTGACTCATTTTTTGTGAAATACAATTTAACTATTATTTCTTTTTGACTCATTTTTTGTTTGAACAGGTTAACGTTACTTTTTTGGCTTACCTATGAAAATCACTCAGTATTGCACATTGTGAAATACAATTTAACTATTATTTCTTTTTGACTCATTTTTTTTTGTTTATTTGGAACAGATTCTGTACCAGACTGTGACAGGATTAAAGAAAGACTTGTCTGGTGTCCAACAGGTATGATGGGAGGTATCTTCACGACTGTTTTCCAATAATGATAGTCCTTCTCAGGCTTTATTTATCTCATGGGGTTAATGTTATGTACAAAGAGAAAACTTGACTGTGTAGGCTGTCCCCACCCTCTTGTTGTCCACATATTGGAAGCATGTTTTTAGTGGAGAAGTCATCACACACACACACATAAGCTTTTAGGGAGAAAAAGTTCCTGAATCATTCTGCTGTTGGAATAATGTTGAATGCAAACATACATGAGATCTTTTTATTTGGGGTCTCCCATGGAGTTGCATTTGCATGGCATATATTTGTAAATTTGGAAGACCGTGTTGGGGGGGGGCATCTAGCTTATTACAGCAGGAGGATTCTATAGACATCAGCTACAGTTCTTCCAAATCACCCATTTCCTTCCACAAGTTATTTGCTTCATTGTTTAGCTAGGAATTATTTGCTTGGTACACAGCCTGACTGATTTAGTTCTTTACAAATATTTAGTACAATGTAGAAAATAACGGAACATCCATGTGCAGCAATAATAGACAATATAAAACTACGCTTCCTGTGCAGTACCTATGTTATCTATAAAGTGGAAGATCGATTCAGGTATGCAGGGAAGACTTCCAACACCAGGCAAGTCTTCAGCATACATCTGAAAATCAAACTTATTAAAATATGTTTACTGTAAGAGGAGGGAGTACAGTATTTCCCATAGTAAGTGCAGTTCTGTTAAATGCCCAATGGCTACTTTTCTGCCTCTAGAATCAAGCGTGTTCTTCATTTTTATTTCAGGAGTTTGCCCCTCTCTTTTTTTTTTATCACAGCCTCTCAGAGTTTTGAAAACAGCTTTCTGTTTCCTCACCTTCCCCAGTTATTCAAGCATCCCTGGTTCTTTCGTATTCCCCAAGTCTGGTTGTCAGCACACTTGATGACTTACAGCCGAATATATTGACAAATATATGAGCTGGATTGTGAAATTTGATCAATTGATGGTCCACTGAAAAAATTCAAGGCCATACTTTGCCCACTTTTGCTGTAGATGTTTCATATGCCTTTAAGGTTAGCTTATATAAATATGAATTGACCATAGCAGTCCAAACACATAACAGATGTTTAAAAGAGGAATCATAGACTTGATTCGTGTAAAATGAGGTAGGGAAGTATGGTGGGTCTGGGAGCTAATTTTCTGCCCTGTAGGTTCCTGGGGCAAGAATTCAAAAACAAACGAAGAGCCTAAGGCCCTCAAAGTTCTGGTTTTGAAAAATAGATTGTGTGTGAAGAGATAATTCCTTTTTTTCTGGAAAACCCTTTTCTGTTTTGGGGTGGGGAGATAGAAGAATCTGATGGGGCCAGAGGATGCAAAAGCAGACTTCAGGGGCCACTCCTGCTGTCAAACATATAAAATCTGCTAGATTCAAGCAGCGGTGGGTTCCCCAGGCCTGCGAGATTTGCAGTCCTGGAGGAGTTCTTGAACTGCAGCTGCCACAAGCATTACCTGAGACAGCTAAAGGTGAGAGATGATGGATCTTTCAGTTCATCAGCATCTAGCAGGCCACATGTTCCTATTTGTCACCCTAAGAGCATAGTATGTGTAACAAGGTAGCTAGGTACAGAGTTGGACTTCATTCCATTCAGCCATTGATACTTTGAACTCCAGATGTGGAACCACAAGTTTTCATGGTCTGTCCTAGGTGCCTGCCCTTCTTGATAATAAGAGTGAGTCCAAATCTGATTCTGATTATGGCAAGGATGATTATGATGACACTTCTGACACTTCTGAATCTGATTCCAAAGACCAGGGGACATGGGTGCATCCTAAAGATCGACCTGCTGAACCAGGTGTGGATAAAAAGGTTAGTGTATTAGTTTTCCTCAACTGGTGGAGTACCTGCTTTGCATTTAACAGATCCCAGGTTCAGTCCCCAGTATCTCTAGGTAGGGCTGGAAGAAATCTTTTTCTGAAACTTTGCACAGCCACTACTGGTCAGTGTAGAGCTAAGTGGTCTGACAATCTACCTTATTACAGGATAGCTTCCTGTGTTCCATCACTATTGTTAGAAATTATGCAGTGGTGGCAAATTGTTTAAAGAGCTTGCTTTCTTAAGTTATCTCAGTGATCAAAAAATGGGTTAGCTTAATGGTAGAAGTAAGGCTATTTCAAGTTGGCTTAAGCTGCACAAGGCTAAGATGCTGAACTCTAAGCCTGCAGACTTAACAGGGATGCCCTGTGATTGTAAACAGTTTTGTGCAATGTCACAGATCAAATCTGCTTTCTGCTTGTTCTCTGTACCTCTACATTTTCCTTTGGACTTTGAGTTTCAAAGTAAAGTGGGGAGGGTGATATATCTAGGACCTTTTGAGTTTGATGAGGCTTAACTCAGAATACTGGGTATATGGCTGCAGCAACTTGTAGTTCTGTTCACTCTGTTGCAATAAACACTCCCAGCTGATGGTCCAAAGAAGCCTCACTAAAATGCATCAGTAGATTGTGTGGACAGAAATATGGGATATCTTTTTGAAAATTGGGAGTGAAAATTCAAATGTCTCAACTTTTAGCACTTTTAACCCAATATAATGGAGTTTTTGTTAGATCAAGTTCAAAATTAGACTTCACCAAGTAAGTCACTGATACTGAGGTTCATTTTACTGGTGCAGGAGGTACATTTTTTTAAATAAGCAATAGCATTTTCAGGCTTACAGTGGCAAACTATTTTTTGTATGATCTACCTTAATTCCTGGGCCCCTTGACCCCTGGCTTACAAACGGATGAGCAAAGATACATAGCCGCTTCACTAAGTATGGCTAGTGAGTTTATGGATAAACTGAAACTTTAATCTGATTTTGTGACTCAGGCACCTAATGCTTCATGTTATGAAAACCAGTTTTTGTACATTATAACCAACTACCTGTAATAAGTATGTGTGGTGGAAGTGGAAGAACTAGAAGGGTCTTAAGGCTACCATACCTAAACAGTGGGTCAATGCTCTAGAGACAGAGGCCTGTCACTTTCCATTACTCTGTAAGAACCTGTTGTCAGCATCCTGATGTTTTGGACTAAAGTTTGCACAAGCCTCATCTTTATGGTCAGTATTCAGAGATTATAGAAATTGCAGTCCAAAACATCTGGATGTTGTTAGGCTTAAGTAATGATTTTATTTATTAGTTATATATTGCCTTTTCTCCAGTGAGGTCATAGTGGCTTTTCACTGCCACACTTTACACGTGATATTAAATCAGTCTGAGAATGACTGCCTGAAGGCTTTCTCAGTACATTTTGTGACTCAGCGACTAGAACCTTGGTGTCTCAAGTCCCAGTTCAACGTTCTGACCAATATGCCACACTGCTTGACACCGCTATACACATTGACAGTGTTGTATAATCAAAATATTAGTTGCTGTAATTGCCCTTTCTGTTGTTCGCATACTACAGATGATTTTGCTAAGTGTGATTTGCCACTTAGGTCTGTTATTTACAGTGCTTTTCTCTTCCAGGAAAAGAAGAGGATGACAAAAGAGGCTCAGAGAGAGAAGAGGAAACACAAGACCCCAAAGCATGTGAAGAAACGAAAGGAAAAGACTGCAAAGTTGAAAAAGGGCAAATAAATCATGGTTGCCAACTTTTCAGAGTTGTATTTGCCTTTCAGGACTTAATAGGTCACTGTTCTAGTAGCAAAGTACTACATCTTGGAAAATGTTCAAAAGAACATTGTAAAAGGGCTGACTGTTCAGAGTAGCAAAGACGGACTTCTGTACTCTGGCATGTCCCTTCACACAACTCTCATTGAGAATGTATCCTTGCAGAGAAATAGAGACTGAATTAAATATCTATATTAGGGCAATCCAGAGAAATATATACCACTTATAATTTTGCATTTTATTAGTGTGAACATCTCTTTTATTTATTCATACCCAAATGCTGTAAGTACAGATTCATATATGTAAATAACAATATAGAGTGCGGGAAAGTAACTTTCTCATTCATTTATTTGTCCACTATACTAAAGATTGTACATGTACATTCTTTTTTTTTAAACAAGGGGAAATAGTTTTTCAGGCAGTCTGGTGAAATTTTTTTTTGCACTCTATCCATGTGGCCCTATCTGCAGCAATGACAGTATGCTGGAGTATCAGATATGTGGAACAGAACCAGGTTTGCTTGACATTGCTGTACACATTGACAGTGTTGTATAATCAAAATATTAGTTGCTAATATAATAATCTTTTTGCCACGATTATGATTAGAGATGGGGACAAATAAAAAAAATAGTGATTCATTTTGATCTGTTATTCATCAAGGTTAACAGAGCAACAAATATGAATATACAAATATTCTTTGATGAATCAACGAATCAATCCATTGATTTGTCTGCACTTTAAATGGCTATAACACTGGCCCTCAACCACCTAGACACCAAATTTGCAGGGAAGCTTCCCCAGATGCTTTTCTAAAACTGAAATGATAAGAGAACAGTGGATCACAGACCCCCAAGTTATATAGTCACAAATAGCACCCCACAGGAAAGCTCCCCCCACGTTCTTAGAAACTCCAATCACAACGGAGCTTCCTATGTCTTTCCCCAAGACGCCTGCCAACTTTGGTGAAGATTGGATATCGGACATCTGAGTTATTCACCCACAAATTGGGTCCCCCCAGGAGAGTTTACCACATGGCACAGAAGCCCATTCTGCCTACTGGCCGATGATCAGAACACAATAGGCAGCCATCCCCCACACAGCCAGCCACCCCAACAGCCTACCCCCACATCCCTTCCTTTCCCTACCTTAGCCCCCACCCCACTCGCACCGACAACCCCTTACCTTAATAGCTGCTGCCAAGGTCTCCATCAGGCCTTCACAGCCATGGTGTGTAAAAAGGGAGGCTGGCTGTCCTTTGCAAAGATAGCTGCTGTGGAAGATGGCAGCTGCAGCTTTCCTACCCTAAATGAAGCTGCAGCGACCATCTTTGCAAAGGGCAGCTAGTCTCAAATTTTTACATGTGTGGCTCTGAGGCCAGAAAACCTCTGCAGCAGAGATTGAGGTAAGAGGGTGTCGGGGTGGGGTGGGACCTAAGAGAGGGAAAGGGAGGGGTAGGCTGTGGTATTAGGTGGCTGTGTGGGGTGGTGGCTGCCTTTCTGCTGCCAATTAGCTGATCAGCAGCTGGTAGGCAGAATGGGGGGGTTGTATTTTTTTTTAATATAAAGGATTAATAAAAATGGGTAAATATTCATCCTTTTGTATTCGTGGGGGTCTCTGGAACCCACAAATACAGATTGACAAATATTTAACAAATCGGCTATATTCATTGGAAAAAGTGATCCGTTTTAATATTCGTCCCCATCTCAAATTATGATCTCTTCCCCCTCCCCTTGGGTTATGTCTGGATTGATGCTGGCCAAGAAATTGGGATAGGTTGTAGAAGGGAGCAGCAGCAGCTAACAGATGAAACCAATGAAGAACTGAGTGTCTAATCTACTAGTATCTTGCCTGTTGGTGGAAGCATAACAAGAGCTCTACTGGCTGGGCAGCTAAATGAACTTCTTTCTGAACATGGCATACAACTGGTCACAGGCATGGGACAAACACCCAGGCCTTGCTTCCCTAAATCCCCGCTCTTTGATGTTTCACTCTGTTCTCAGCCTCCTCATTTGAGGGGGATGCTTCTGTTTGTGTTTACCTGTTTGTGTTTACTTGAATATGAGTAGCTACACCTACATGGAGACTATTTTGGTGGAGTTCCTGGTTGTACAATCTAATGTCCATGCAAAAGACTCATTCAGATTCCCTGTTCATTAGAGAGAGTATGGGAACAACATGAGCAGGGCCATTTAGTTGTGTTTATTTTGGGCATCACACCTGAAAAAGCATTCTGGGAATGTGGTTTTTATCCTCGCCATTTGGAGGGAGTATGTGTGTATTCTGTGACTTAAGAAAATTCCACTACAATTGCAGTATTTTTGACCTGTTGGCAAAATATTTGTTTTAAATACTAAAAGTTTAAAAGCAGCCACTTCTGTTGTAAATAAGAAGGGTGACTTAGTGTCAGGAGATATGATATGCAATAGCATTAACTGCTGTCTGGATCCCTCTATAAACATAACATTCTGGCAAGGCTGCTGCTGTTGTCACCTCGTCCTCTCTGCGGCTGAGGTGAAGGAGGGGCCCTGCTCGCAACCTGGCCGCATGCTTCTCCTTCCTCCCGCGTGGCATTCCTCCCCTCCCTGCCCAGACGTGCCGCGGGATGGGGTGATGCTGAGAGAACAGCCTTCTCGTGCACGCTCCCCCCCCATGTGCTTTCACAGCCTGCTGCGGAGAGCTCGCACCCGTCCATCCATCCATTTTGACAGTCTGTTGCTCGTTCGCTCCCTCCCTCTTCCTTTCCTTTCCCTTTCCTGCTGCTGCTTGTTTGCTGCCTCCAACAAGGAACAAACAAACAGGAAAGGAATCTTGGTATCTAGTAGAACAGAACAAAGTCTATTTTATATTTGTTTCTTCCATGTAGGCAGAACACAACATATTTCAAAATTCATTGTTATTGTCAGCCAGTAGTTGAACATGTGTAGCACCAAAGACTGAAAGGGAGCAGTTTTGCTCCAGTGCGATTAGAATTCTGTCTCCAGGAGCTGATGTAGTTTAGTTGTATGTAGGACCTGCCATGTACCACAAAGAGCTCTACCATCCAATACTCCACTACAGTATTCCTTTCCATTCCCCAGTATATGACTTCTGAACCACCCATCCCCTTCTGCCTAACCAAATGCAGACTGAAAGAGGGAAAAAAAGGAAATTTAATTTTTAAGCAAGGAACATCTTACTCCAATACGTCCAATTGAAGAGACAGTGGTCTCATCCCTTTCCTATTAGAGGCTGGATGTCATTGTGGCCATTCTGACCATGCATGCAACAACTCTAAACAATGATATTGTGTTGTATCCAGACCAATAATTGATTATTCTTCCTGCACTGCTTCTTCCATCCAATTTACCGTATTTTTCGCACCATAAGACGCACTTTTTTCCCCACAAAACAGGGGGGTAGAAAGTCTGTGCGTCTTATGGAGCGAAGAAAACAGATTATATTTTCCTGTTTTCTTCTCCTAAAAAATTGGTGCGTCTTATGGAAAGGTGCGTCTTATGGAGCGAAAAATACGGTACCTTTCACCTGTATGATCAGTGGTAACAATTTGTCACAGATTGCTACAAATACTTTTTCCATCTGCAGCTCTTGGAAACTTCTGTTTAAAATGTATAAGGTTCCAACCCTTGGATCTCTATCCTTCAGGATCAGAAGAAAGAGGAGAGCTTTTTTTCTTATGTCCAAATGGGAATGCCACTAGTTTGATGTTTTCTTGATAAATCAGCAATGCTGATCATGTGAGCCCTGTCTCAGTAATTCACCTCTTGTGTGGTAAGAGGCAGAATCAGTAGAAAATCAGTATAGTGCCAGGCCTGTGATTATTTTTGTGGATATCCTACATTTGGAGGGGTGGGAGATGGAAATTTGCTAGTGGCAGTCAAGACTTCGGGGATGAACTGTGGAGCTGTTGAAAAAGAATGTAAAAGAAAATGTAGAGGAGACATGTAAACTAACTGGAAAGCATTTGAGAATTTTTGTAGTGAAAATATTCTGCTATGGTCCCTTGTTGACTATTGACACTTTGGAATAAACAGTAATGCTATGAATTTCCAAAACACTGTAGATTTATTCACATGATCTTTTAAAGTTTATGAAATTAATATTCAATGTTTTCCTCCACCACTGTTATTTAATCTCTGCCCACCCACTCCCGAAATAAAGAGACGGACACAGGTGTTGGAGTTAACTAGGGCC